AGAAAAGCCACTAGGCTTGCTAAACAGATCTTATATAGTGCTCTGCTGGTAGGAGATGCGCGTGTCCTGCTTCACCAGTTGTGGATGCATGCTGCTCTAATTCCAGTGCACTGGAGATGGAACACAAAAATGTGTAAATCCCAGGCTCTTCTTCATCCAGCAGCTTTTTGCACTGTTGCGCTTGCCTCAGTGCTATTCTTTTATCCCAACGCAGAGCCCACTAGCAGTTGAAAATTTGATCCTGTAGCTATGCTTCTCTGGCTTCCTTTCAGCTGATGCAGTGAACCTAAGGATCAGGTGATGACTGAAAATGGTCTTGTTCTCCTGGCAATGAAGAACTCAGGTGCTGGTAAACCTGCTGGCTAGCTTTTTTATTGTGTTATGATTCCAGTTAGGTCCAGAGAGTTGGGTTTATTAACCCTTGGCTAGATGTTCTCATGTATACATAGTGTCTTGCAGTAGAGTAGCCAGGCTATGCAGAAGATCTGTGTCAGTGCAAGGTTATGCACGATGCATTTGATTTTGCATTCCTCTGAGAAGGTGGGTGGGAGCTGAATGTCGTACTGCTCCCAGGCTGAGCCCTGAGAAGCTAATGAGTACAAGAAGCAGTTGTAGTGACTTCCTTGAGAGGAGCTGCATGGTGATTTGAAAACTAAAACACTGAAGAGTTTTTTCCCAAAACTAAGCCTCTAATGGCTGATTTAAAAAAAGCAAATCTGGTTGTTTCAGTGTGCATCTAGTTTTTTTTATGGGTGCAATGAAACTGGGCTCTACTTTTTTTCCACGCTCCTACCTGAAACTACTTCTAAGCTGTGTGTATGAAGCAGGGCTGGCAAAAGGAGACCAAGATACATCTGGTGATGTTGGAGGCATTTGCCTTCATCAGATAGAGGTGGTGGAAAAACTCTCAGGTCTCTAGATCAGGACGATGGTGATGGGGTGAACATTGCTGCCTGGAACAGCAGTGACCTCTTGTGGGTAGTGGGGTGGCTGGTGATGCTGGTGATACTGGCAGTTGGCTCTCGGAGTCGGAGGGTGGTATTCTGTTGTACTTATGTCTCTGGCCTTAAAGTGAATGTGGTAAAGGGAGCTCGGATTCTCTTGGCTAGGTGTCGGAAACAAACAGCTGTGAAAGGTGCAAAGTCCTTTCTTCCTCACATGTATGTGTTCTGAAGCTGTGATGGGAAAGTGTCCTAACTGTTCAGGAGCAGCCCAGACTCCCCTCTCCCTGTGGAGCACAGAGCTGGCCTTTAAGCACGTCAGGGGACTGAGATAGTATGAGACCAGATCTCTTGCTCAGGTACTTTTTTCCTATGAAGCGTCTTCAACTGAGAAAAGCAGTCTTGCTGGTCTGATACAAAATCAGGGGAGGAACACGGTACTGTGCAAGCAAGCGTTGGGTCTGATATGCAGAGTTGCTGTGAGGGTCTCAGCCCCTAATAATCACTTAAAAGCCCTAAGGCATGTGACCAGGTTCCCAGTGAGCTGTGAACCCTCAGCCCATCTTCACAGCCAGCTGCAAATGCAAAGTAAAACCTTTTGGAAGCCCTTTTTTTCTTTTTGAATAGGTTATGTCGGTACATTCTACCTCACGATTAGTGGCGGTAAATTTATGTAGTTACAGCTCAACTGATGCTTTATAAGATGCAGGGTGTAGCCTGTGTGTCAGAAAGCTCTTTTAGTGGTTGGTGAGATTAATTCAAGTCAGGAAAAAAGATTTTCTGTGTCTTTCCACCAAATACCAGGTTGCTTCACCTCCCTGTCCTTTGAGACTATCTGAAGGTGAAATTCTCAAAGAATTTGCATTTTGTGTGTTTTATGACAAGCTAGTTGCTTAGATTTTTACTTCTCTGTCCCCTGAGCTACACACAACACAGCCTTTGAGTTGTTGTGTATCTTTGGGCCGTTTCCAAATATTTCTATTCCCTGGACAACTGCAGATTCGGAGGGACTGAAGGCAGGGATGTGCATCTGGGCAGACAGCTGCACCGCTACCCTGCAGTGAGAAGGGAGCGGTGTCTGACTACAGGAACACCGCAGAGGTGCTGGGCGGTGGGTGTCTTGCACATGCAGATGTCAAGAAAATGAAAAGTAGTGGGAATCTTTAAGAAGTTATCTGCCTGTTATTACTCAGTTTTGAAGCACTGACTCTTCCTGCATGCCCTTCTGTTGAGTGATGACTTCCGTGTCTAAGTTTACCCTATTCCTATTTTTAGAAAATGGGAGAGATTCAGTGAAAGATCCTGGGCCTTTTGTATTTCTTTCTGATTGCTGAGGGAAAGACACATCTCTCAGTGAATTGAGACAAAACCAGAATTTCTATTTCCACTAACTTGTGGCTGTGATTCAGAAATTTCTTTCTCTCCAGTTCTAAAAAAAGTAGTTTGTCAGGTCACCAGAAGTTGTAGAAATAAACAACTGTCTTGCAAGACTTCAGCCATGTTGTGGAGCCATATCCATCACTCCAAAACAAAAGCGACACTCAAAAGCCAGGGTATTTGAAGTGGTTTGTCTGGATGTTTGAGATAGGCGGGGGAGTGACTTGTGCTATAGAAGTGGGGAAAGGGAAACTGAAGAGGGAAGAAGCCAAGAATGTGTACGAGCAACAACTGGGAACGCAGCCTTGACAAAGTTTTGTCTTGTGTTTTTTTTTTTTTGTTGTCAGATGATAGCTAAAGGAACCCTGAAATAATGAGTTCAAAAAAGCCATTAGTGTCAGATTGTGTTCAGGGGAAATGCAAGTTGCTGCAACTTCCTTTTCCTATAAAGAATGTGCAGAGGGCATCAGTCTCTAAAAAAAGACTTCGAAATGTAAAAGCCTGCCTGACCGAAGTTTAACTGAGTGGTAAAGGTCAAAAAGGTACAGAGGAAGACTTTTGTTTCCAAAGGAAGCAACTTCAGCAGAGCAAATGAGATGCATCAAGGTGACGAAGCTGCCCACCAAGCCTGGATATAGCTGGAGACTTAATGAAGAGAACTTTAAAAAGCTCTGAAGCTCTACCTACGATTTCTTGGAAAGCGCTGGAGTGACTTGTCCTTGGTGGTGATTCTCTGGAGCAGCAGCAGGGTGTTTGGAAGGTGCAGGGTTTTGTTGCAGATGGTTTGTTTGCGGATTGCTCTGCGTGCTGACCCATGTTCGCCTCCTTTTGTGTGGTGGCAAAACTGGTTTCAATCAATCTGATAGAGCTCTAAAGACTTCATTCAGAACTGGCATCCCATCCTAGGCTGCCAAGGCATAGCGCAATGTGGGCAAAATGCTCTCTATGAACCGCCAGAGTGAAGACTTCTCCTGACAGACGGACGTATCCCCAGTGACTTCCAGGATTCATTAGAAAATCGGATTTGAACTTGCAAGTCAAAACCAGATGAAGATAATCAAAAGCTTCAGGAGGCAGTGAAACTGGCTGCAGGTTTTGAATACAGCTGAGTGGTGGAAGAAGAAATTGCTGCAGTGAAAAAAGGAAAAAGCCGCTCTTAAAAAAACCAGACGTGTAAGCAGTAGTGGCCCTCTTACACATCTGAGGGGAATGCAGGTATATTTTTTTTAAAAGTGCAATTACTTTTTTGTGGTAAAGCAGCAATAGGGCAAAAACAGTTCAATAAAATACTAGTTGTAAAATGGTGTGTTTTAAATACAAGACTGGCCAAAAGAAGTGATTTAAAGTGTTGAAAAGAACTCCTTCTCAATGTGGAAGAGGTAATGTAAAACAAAGGACACCATGGCCAAAGTAAGAGACAAACACTAATTTGTGGTGTTAAGATATGTCAGATGTGTTTTCTAGGGTGTGTTTGATGGCTTCAGGATGCTGAGAGAAGCTTGGGTGGGGAATAGGCACACCTGGTTTTACAGGTCAGAGTAAACCTTGTTAAAAATTGAGTGTTGTAGGGATCCTTCATGGGCAGGTGGCTAGGAAATGATTTAAGCTGTTGGAGAGAACAAGAGACCTGAAACAGTAACCGTCTCCTTTTGGAAACTGAGCACATCACTACCTGCATCAAAGGTATTAAGGTGTAAGTAGTCTGGGTGGAAGCCTGTGAAGTGTCGGGCAAGTCAGACGCAAGCAAGGACATGCTTTCAACTTGTATGTTCTTTGGAGAGGGAAGTGAAAAAGCACTTTGTTACCAACAGAAATGTAAAATCTGTTTAACGTAGTAGGGAATGCTCTGCTGTCTGCTTCACATTTTCTGCTTCACAGGTTGCAGGATACTGCAGGAGTCAGTGCTGGTGTGTTGGAGTGGACTATGGAGGGTGTGGATGGTGCCCGGGGTCACCTCGGGAGGGTGTGGATGGTGCCCGGGGTCACCTCGGGAGGGTGCAGGAGCTCGCTAACCCTGGCTCCTGGTGTCCAAGAGCGTGGGGCTCCAGCTGTGCCCGTGGGTGTTG